GCAGCATACGCGCGTGCAGATCCTCACCTGACTCTTTTAACCATCCTCTGTATAATTACTACACGCGGTATTTTTCAGCCCTCAATCCTCAGCATTATATCAACATCAACGATCAACATCAACAATCAGAAGTTAGAAGGAAAGACCTCTTTTCCTTTGAAAATTCCTGGAAAATCAACCCCAAGGGATTTAATCTTGATTTGTCGGTTAAATGGCAGTTTAGAAATAGGTCTAAAACTTCCCCATTTTTCGTGGCAATAAGTGAACTTTGAGATGTCCTGCAACCCCTTCAAACGTGAAGTTGACAATGCCTCCGCCTTGAAACGTTTGTTCCGGACAGAAAAATTTATGAATGAACGTTTGTTTACATTCCTTGCAAGTGCCGATGGCGGGCGCTCTTTCAGTAACCAAGTAGCAAACACAGAAGTGAAAAGTGACATGAAAGCTGTTATTTTTGTAGAAAATTATTGATCGAAATCACTTCATTTCGGGAGAACTGTAGTAGTTTGAGGCCACAAACTGAACGGATAATTGTCTCTACGATCAGCTGAGTAAGATCACTTTAATTAGTTGAGTAACAAGTGCCATTTTGGTTTTGCACTGGTTGCTTCTTCGTCGCTTAAATATTTGCAAATAATTTGCTTTATATCAATGTAGTTATATCGTTGGATCATTCTCAGTCAGTAGCCTTGTCATGCGTAGCCCCTTTATTTTCTCGTCCACACAACTGATAGCCACGCGAGGCCAGCGAACGATGGCCGTAAAAAGGGCTTCAGAATATTCGCAATTTTCATGGCAAACCATAACCGATCCAAACAAACAAAGTTGTTTTAGGTAGTTAAAGACCTACTTCATATATCTATCTAGGTATTTTTTTCTCAAAAAAAGGATTTCGATGCATTTTGACGATATTATTTCATGGACAAATTGACTAAAAATTAGGTCATGAAATTTCCGGGTTTTTTTTGAGAACGACGAAAGTCTTCCAAATGTTGAGGTAATCAAACGAAAGAGTCAACCTTCATGTACAAAAAATCTTTGTGAACGTGATGTCGTTAATATTTTAAGAATTCGATGTACACCTAATGTTCCCAACAACTTCCATTTTCACAACGCGAAAAGATTGTCACCATTGTAAAGCATAGAGCGAGGAACCCAAACACTGTGTGACCTTGTGACCCATACGCCCACTGATTGGTCGAGCTCGAGTATGGGCCTGCTTAATATTCATAAGTCATTCATTGCGCGTTCGCACGTGCTATTCACAATGTTTGCAGGCCAACGTACATTTTGTATGTCGGCGTAATTCGTTTACACGCGTACATGTGATTGCAAATCATGAAATCTCGCAAAATTCTTTATTTTTCAACCGGCGATTTGGACCAAACATTAGAAGTCTCCTGCACGTGTTTCACATAAAAATTAAGCGTATACTTTCCTCTATCTACTAAGCCTTGCCATTTGTTTCGGTCGTTTTTTAGAATCGAATGTACACCTAAAAACTATCGGCCCTCGATTTTGTTGATAACAAATATGATTTTGTTTGACAGGCCATAACAACACTTTATATTTGTCAAAAGCAGTTATCAAAATAAAGCACACGATTTCAACTTTTCACTTATTTTGCCATCTTGGGCCAAGTTCGGGCAAGGACCATTAGTCGACTAGTGGTAGATTTGTGACGTACCTTACGCCTGTGCACTAATATCAAAGTGCGAACGTCTGTAGTCGAACGCTGGTCAAAATGACATTGCAAAACGTCTGGATCCTGGCTCCCTGCTGTACGTTATGAACGCGCGCGGCTATGGTTACCAGCGAAGCAACCAACCCCAGTAGGTTGGTTCCAAATAGTCGACTAGCGTAGTTAACCATCGTCGACTAGACAGAGTTCGGGCAAGCGTTAGTCGACCAATGGTTAACTATAGTCCTTGCGCGAACTTGCCCTTGGCCAAACAGTGCAACAATCAACATCAACATCAACAATCAACTTTCAGCAATCAACAATCAACATCAACATCAACAATCAACTTTCAGCAATCAACAATCAACATCAACAATCAAGAATCAACATCAACAATCAACATCAACAATCAGCATCAATAATCGTTAATCAACAACAACAATCAACATCTACAATCAACATAAACATTCAACAATCAACAATGCGAAAAACCAAACCTCTAGCCCAACACTATGTGTTTGTCCCTTCAAACTCAAGTTATTCTTTTTGAATCCGCAAAACAGGCACATGTAGTGGGTAATATGATCTCATGAGGTGACTAAATTGAATCTATTGCGCTCTATATACACAATATGTAGATGCAACTCGTTAGACATGGGCAATAGCCCTAACAGTCCTGAATCCTCCAAATTCACACCCCCTAGGATTTTGCACATCCCCTAGGGAGTTAGGGTTAACACCCAGTTTAGCAGTCACTCAAAGTCGAAGTTATGTTTTTCGTTATGGGCCAGTGCTAGACCCACTACTTTAGAGCACATGATGGGTTCGGGCAAGAGAGGTCAAGTGTGGGGCTTATCATTCTGTTGATGAGAATTATTGAAGGTGTCAATCATAAACATCTTCCTGCAGTCATCACCTCAATTGATTTCCGCAAGGCGTTTAAGATGATGGTCAAGATGATGAACATCCTCAAGATGATGAATATCCTCACCACAATGATGAAGAGCAAAGGGGTCAATATGTCACCCTGAAAGCACTCCGGTCAAGCATGTCAAAGATCCCAGTATATAAGTTAGTGCAAATCATTGGGGCGACCTACGCAAACACCCGGGCCAGGGTCACTTCAACAGATCGTGTCTTTGAAAGATCTTTGACATGGTGACCGGAGTGCTTCAGGGTGACATATTGACCCCTTTGCTCTTCATCATTGTGGTGAGGATGTTCGTCATCTTGAAAAAGGGCCGGGTATGACATCCTTTTGTCAACAATTTTACCGGCTGTCACAGCAGGGTCGATGTCATTCCAATGACACCAGCGTTTCTGTCTTTCAGCATCCAATCCCTTTGAAGTAAGGTGAGATTGTGAACCATGATAGAAGAAGTCCGACTTGACTCATTTACCAATATTTCCATTGGGGAGAGCCCCAACTCTCGTTGGAAATCACAATGCTAAACTCAACTATACTTAGCCTGCAGAAAACACTTTTGACTCCTGAGTCTCACTGTTGGCGTGACCCGGTAACCCCACAGAAGTGGAGCCGAGAGTGAATTGATGTCAGCAATCACATTATTGTCAACCTTCTGTTCCCGCATTATTTGGCCAAAATCATGAACTTCGTTTACCTGTCTTTAAAAAAAATAGACATAATTATCAGCGCTTTGAGTACCTGATTGTTGAAAGATACGTGCGCTTTACAAGACTCCGGTATTGTAACAAGAAGTAGTGTTGTTTATATTGTAAAAAGCATTGCAGCCTCTTCAAGCTCATTTTTAAAGCAGCATACAGTGAATACTGTGGTGAGGGCACCTGAGAACTCAGATGAACTGAACATTTGAGCACAGGTGTGGGAGACGCCAATTCCACAAGCGCAGAGTTTCACTTGTAGTATATCATTTTATCATTGGAGCTGGTTTGGACATTTAGAGTAGTCAACTTTGGACTGTACCATGAAGCTCTCTGTGAATTAACACCATACTTATTTTCCAACTGTGAATCATGCACTGTGCGTAAATTGACTTCTTTTATTGTTTTCTTCTGAATGACAGCCAAATCGCACAGGGAATTTAATTGTCATAACTATATCTTTAAACCAATCAATTTTGTCCAACAATAATTTCGTCAGTTACTTTTGGATAGATGCAAATGATCTATTCTACCTTTAATCTTCACATTATTTTTCCCACCATTTCATATTTTAGAGTTATTTCTACAAACTTAAAGATATTATTAAAAATGTAAGAAGTGAGAAATACTTGTTTCGTAATAAAGGCAATCTATTATGTGTTCTGACAAATAGTGACAACACACAAGTGGAACAACAAAGAAAATGCTTTGTTTCAACAACTGTCAAACAAAACTGTAATTACACAATATCTTTATTAACAACCCTTGCTTCAGGCAAACAAAAGGATTTTCATGAAATCCATTTGTTTAAAGACGCGCCTTCAAAAAGACTATGTTGATTATTTAAACTTTTAAACTGAGGTTTTATGGCTATTGATTGTTAAAATAACAATTGTGACGACGATACGTGAAATAACATTTTAGGTTCATTTAGATTGTGATTTACTTTGAACGGATTGAGCAATTTATAAAATATTTGGGTTTTTTTTTCATCTTAAAGTAGTTTGTGGAATTGGCTTTTCAGTCAGGTGTTCCTTTTTTTTGTTGAATCATCATGAAATATGTGTATTTTTTTGGGGGGGGGGGGGGTGGGTTCCATTTTTTTTACTCACCCTGTATGATGCATTTGTGTTATCCACACTGTTATTCTGTTACAATTTGTACGCTCCATGTAACGCATGGAATTGGTGATGCATTTTTGAGTGTTTAATGTAAACAAACGATGTTAGGTGGTGGGGTAAAAAGATCAATATAAATGGTTGGCCTAACAAGAAATCAGTTTGTAATTAAAATCTTAATAAATTAAATCAGAGCCCAACCTTCGTTTGAATGTGTCAATTTTTAATTAATAAAACACTGAATACACTGAATATTCATCCATGTTTACTTTGCTCAGAAGTTGTGAACTTTGTAAAGGAGTTGTGAACTTTGTAAAGGTTAAGCCAAATTTCAGGGTAGTAATGTTTTACTTGCAAACTGCTGCATGCTCTGTATTTAATCTTTTCACCCAACAAGCGATCAAAGAAATAGGTTTGCATGGATTTTTCAGATTACGTATCAATGATTCACGACTGGGAAATGCACAACATAAATACACACATTGAAAACTTACACAAAGCTATTTGTTTTTATTGATGTTAGTATATCTACTACTGTGACCTAATATTTTCATTATCCAATTTTTTTTTTATATTAGCCCCCAAGCCTGGAATGAGTAAATGCCCTCTCTGTCATGTCAGCATAGCAGCTGAAGATGATAAAGATTCCAATTGGAGGAAACATCTCACGGGGTCCGGGAAGGATGCATGCTCTAAAAATCCTCGACGAGAACCAGCCATTAAGAGAGGTCAGACTATGTGATTGATTTATGGCAATATAAAGAAATCAAAATGTCTTTATTAATTTCATTCAGACTTGCAACTCAAGGTAGATTTTTTATATTAATCTGTGACATTTTTATATAAAAAAATTACTCCACGATTAATATTGAAGAATCCGTAACGACCTCGCAAGTCGATCCTGTAGCGATCTAGCGAGTCAAGACTCGGGAGTCAACTGCACAGGAAAGCTGATTGTTTTGGCTGCAATAGCGTGGACGGGTGCAAAGGACTCCCAAAATAATTTCAACGACCATAGCAAACTGTCTTGTGTAAATACTAGAAAGGTATTTCTGCGTAGAAATAACACGTCACAGAAATAAGTTTAAGTGCACGAAAAGCTGGGGCCTAAGAATTGCAAGGAAAGCCGATTACATCCGATAACTGCAGATTTCCTCAATACATTTTTACCATAAAGCAAGATCCAATTCGGTCTATCACACTTCACTCTTTTCTCTTAGTGGTGGGACAGATAAGATGTGTTTTCCAGATCCTCAATAACCTGCAATTTAGTAGTTCCCTTATGAATGTTTATGGTTTGACTGTTACAAAGAGTTTATACATTTCACTTGCCCATCACCGTAAGGCTGTGCTGCTGTATGCAAATGTAGTGGCTCCACATAGTCAGGCAGCTTAGTGAATGGATGTGGACATTCCGGACAAAAGCGCCAAATTTTCCATACATGCTCCTCAATGCCTTAGCTTTCAATTTTTGATAGGAAGCAACTTTATCCAATGATTATGGCGGCCATCTTGGATTTTAAAGATGGCAGCCATTAAAAAATACCTTTATCTACCAATATCTGATCTTCTAAGCCACTTAGAATTCAAGTTGTGGTGTCGAAACATACCTTTTCAGGGTCAAGGAATGCAACTGTACCATTTGGGATAGTAGTTTGTCCGAATACAGTATTGTGGCCATCTTGTAAATGGCAGCCATTTAAAACTTGCATCTTTAAGCCACTAAGGATCTAAATCTTGGTGTCTAATATGTTTATGGTCACGGAACGCAACTAACCATTTGGGTTAGTATCACATGTCATGTCAAATGGTCAGTTTGTCCAGATACTTAATACGGCGCCCATATGGTTTGCCGTAAAAGCACCAACACTGGCCCGAGTCCGACTGTGTACCTTTTTGCCATTGTGGTTTGACTTGAAAGGCCGGCACCGGTCCCATTCAGGTTGTGTACCGTCTTGCCATTATGATTTCCTATAAAGGGACCAACACTGGCCCGATTCAGACCTTTTACCGTCTTTGCATCATGGTTTATCGTAAGAGTACCTGTAATGGCCCGGTTCAGGCTGTGCTCCGTCTTGCTGTTATTGTTTTCTCTGAACGGTGTTACCATTACCGTTTGCCACTTAATAGGGCGAGCACTGGACCAATTCCGACTCTGTGGTGTTGTACCGTCAACACACAACCGTTTTGGCACAATCGAGCCAGCATTAGCCCGCTTCTGGTCCTGCACCGCTTAAACTGTATGGTACTGCCACAACAAACCCGTAATTAGCCGGTATCGGCCCAATACCGTCCCGTTTACTGGGTCAATGCCATCTTTGAACCTAGGCAGGTAGAATCTCTGGCACTACAGGAATGTGATACAACTCTGCCTCTCCACAACTACATGCAGCTGAACCACTTGTGTGGCTCCATTTGATAAAGGCGGGTCTGTGATCGGCTAGTCCTGGTTCTCAAGCGGCTGATAGTTTTCCACTGAGCCAATGTCGATGTAGCACCTGTTGGGAAGTTTTCTGCCGTTGTTATACAGGGCGTCTAAAAAAAAAAGGTAATCCAACTTGAAAGGGTTATTATGGCCAGACTTTTTGTTTACAAGCAAGAAGCATGGTATCATCTTGAAGCTGAAGCTGTGCGCTTTTCAATTCCAGAGTCACGCATCATGGAGCACCATTGTCTTGAAGTTGTAGCACAAAAATGCAGTTGGTTCACTTTCCTGCTGAACAAAATCGACGCAGATTCATGTTTTGTATTCATGGTTTTATTCATGGATTTTATTCACGATCATGAGTAAAACAGAAGTTTCTGATTTTCTCACATTGGCCAAGACCCTCCCTCTGCTGTCGTACGCAGCGGTGTTTTCCTGAGATCTCGCTGTCCTTGGCCTTCCTGAATGTCCTTTGTTGGGGTTGAGGCTGGTTCCATGTGCTTCACACTTTCCCACATTGGCCCAGATTGTTTTCTTTGCTGGTGGTTCTCGGTCTGGGAATGCTTTCCAAAGGCATCCTGTGCTGTGTTAGCCTGCAAACTTCTTGGTCCATGCAATTTCTTGACCACAGAGATTCTCTGTTATGCTGTTAGCTGAACCATTGTGACAAACCGAGGTTTACACACTGTCTTAAGGCTAGAATGACATGGGTATTTTTGAACCACAACTTTAAGACAATGGTGCTCCATGATGCGTGACTCTGGAATGTAACCCAAGGTATCATTGAAAAGCGCACAGCTTCAGCTTTAAGATGATACCATGCTTCTTGCTTGTAAACAAATAGTCTGGCCATAATAACCCTTTCAAGTTGGGTTACCTTTTTTTTGAGACACCCTGTAGTATAACCATGACAATCGGTGGGCGTTTGCTCCCAGTCGTTGTTTCCAGTGTTGGAGTCTTGCCACTTCCCTGGATGTTGTGAAGGAGTGGACATGGCCAAAGAAGTTTTTCTTGACTTCTGCCTTTTGTGCCGAAGTTTGCAGTCCCTGGAGGAGGCGACACTCGTTATTTATCAATATTTGGACATCTTAGCTCGGCTGGCAACTTCCCTTCGGAAATCCGGAGAGGAAATGCCAGCAAGGACGTGCAAATTACTTGTGTTGGCTTTCAAGCATCCAGTGATCAAACTGCATGTTGTTTAAGGCTGGGTCAGGTTTCATGGTACGGGCTGATAGAATACTCTGCTGAAGAATGGCATGGAGCCAAAACGGTTCATCTTAAGTGTGTGGTTTGGCTCCCCTTTCGGAGGTTGTTCTATTTTTTTATGATGTTGTTACGGGGAACTCATTTTAGATGACTTGAATGACAGGATACGATGGAGGGTCACCCTAAGGTAGACAGGATGGCTACAAGGCACCAATGGTGTTCCGGACCATTCGATGTTAAGGGGTCGGTTGGCTTCGTTGTTAACGTTCCTGAGATGGAACGAGCAGACTTGGGTCTTTATGAGATTGGCACGGAAGGTGATTGCGCTCGTTGTATAGAAACGGCTAAGAGCTGAGGTAAGTTTTGCTTCTATGGCTTCGAACGGAATCTTTTGAGATGGTCTGTTGAATTGTGATTTGTTTTGTGTAGACGTTATACAGCAACGTGCCGTCGACAGTGTTTTTGTAACAACAAAGAAGCATCCGTCTTTGAGAAGGCCACCGATATGATCCGCAAATGAAAGATATTGGGACGACTCCAACTTCATCTTTTACAGGAGGCGGCAGTGGTTTACAGTATCATATGTGACCAAAAGATTCACAAAAATAGCTCCACTTATTTGTCGTTTTGAAACCCATCTTCAGCTTGCTGTTAAGAGGGACAAACCTGTTTAAGATCTTTATCATAAACAGGTTCAGGTTCGAACATGAACAAAAACAGTAATGGGTTCCTGTCTGGACCATGTTTGCCTGTGGCCTCCAAAGCCTGCAGTGAACTAGTTAATGTATCAAAATCAAAATGTATGCAGTGCAAGACGTGAATGCAGCACCTTGCTAAGTGCAATAAACTCTGCGGTTGCAACTCTGAGAATTAGGCCGAGCACTTTTAAACTGTACCTTTTTGTGTGTGATGACATTTATTTTCACCTAATGTTGTTTAAATTATTCTTCATACAGCATTTTCGGTGACTGCAGTATACATCAACGGTATTCTGTTAGATACTTTACCTTCAGTTTGACTATTTTGTGTGTTTATAACTAAATGTGTATACCTAAACTGTGATTTGATATATCAGGTATCTGGCGGCCATTTTTAAAATCGAAGATGACCACAATGGTGTACAAACTGACCATTTGACACTGTCATAAATGGTATAGTTGCTTTCCTTGACCCTGAAAATGGTTGTTTGGACGCCAAAATTTTAAACGTAATGTGGCTTAGAAGAACAGATATTGGTAAATACAGATTTTCACTGCGCAATAGCCGTAGCCTTGTTGCCATTTTGGATAAGTTGATTCCTACCAAAAATTGAGAGCTTGGGCATTGAGGAGCATGTATGGAAAATTTGGCGCTTTTGTCCGGAATGTCCACATCCATTCCAAAAGCTGGACTAAGCTGCCTGACTAACACGTATGTTGAGTCTTCACTCAACTTACCTGTGGAGCCAAACCATTAGACTGCCCCCACGAAAGTGTGGTGGGAGTCGACGAGCGATACTTGCCTGTAAGCTAGGTCGCTCCAGTGGAGCACGAGAAACGAAGGGGCCAAGATGGCGCTCGTGACGCAGGGCAGTGGGAAGCATTATGAGGACGCTGTGGATATATACTCTTACCAAAGCCGTATAGACCTTTCTTTTGTATGTAAACATTGGCGCCATTTTATATGTGTCATAACGCCCTCAATACATAGTTGAAAGGCATGTATAGGAATTATGCTGTAGCTTTGTTGACAACGTTGCATTTTCAACAATCAAATAATAGTTTGGTTATCTGTAATAACGCTTCTTCATTTTTAAAGTGTTGGACCTTCCATAGTTTTGCAACCCGTGGTTGGCTAAATGTGCCAGTTTGCCAACCAAGCGTATATAAAGAGAGTTGTGTAGGAGTTATATAAGCCACCATTTTCGTCCAAACAGTTCGACTGATATGTTGCAACTCTTGTATATGGCCCTGACTCTTACAGAATTTTAAAACATTTTTCGTTCGAATCTTATATTCAAATTCGTTCGGCGAAATCGATTTTAGTGCATTTCCAATGTTTAATTTCGTCTTTTGTTGATTCCAAATTTAGTCCAAACAAATGAGCACACGTTTTCAACCAGGAGTATAATTCCCTAAAATTCGTCAAACATTATAGCGATTTCTTCAAAGGCATTTGAATGAGAATAAGCCTTTACTTTTTAATTCCTTATTTTCTTCGCAAATGGGTCATTTCTTGTCTTCAAATATGTTAGGCTCTACGTTTCAGGCATAGTACGTCCACGAGGATTTGTGGTTTGATCGATCATGGCTTTATTATTATATTGTATTATAAGACTTTTTTCTTCTGTTTATTTCAAAAATGTTGATCTTGGTAATCTTTACTTGTTGGGTGACTCTTCTTTGACTTGTATGATTAAGCTGGGGACGACCACGAGGCCTGGTCGAGGTGGCAGACCTTTGCCCAAGGTGAAACTGGACGGCAGCATCAAGGGCAAGACGAGCAGGGGCAGGAGCTTGGAGGCGCCTAACATGACCAAAAAGGCCATGTCGCCTCCCCGAGATCTATGACAAAATGCTACGAAGCCCCGTACGCTGCTAAATATCGAACCATCGGATTCCAAGTATGCAACGCTGACACTGCATGTGGAAAGCTTGAATGCGCTTTCGTGCTTAGTGTCCAGGTTTTGGACCCATAAAGGAGGGTGGAGAGCACACACGCGCGATTAACCAAAGTTTTACCGAAAGACTGACCTGGCTTGCTCCTCCAGAGACGATCAAGTTGGCTCATGGTGGTACTGGCGATGCTAATTCTGCGTAGTATGTCCTTACTGCAGAAACCTAACGAAAGGACGCAACGGATTCGACAACTACGGCAACGGATTCGACAACTACGGCATCCAGGAAAATTGAAACAGGTTCTGGACTGCATAGTGACTGAACTTTGGTTTTTGTCCATGATGGTTTTTACAGCCTATGTAACTGGCCTCATGCTTAAAGGTTGCAAGAAGTTCCGCCGTCTTGTTAGATCCCTAGTGAAGAGGGCGGCATCATCTGCATACAGGAGGTAGGTAAACCTGAGATCGCCTACATCAATTCCCAGTGAATCCTCACACTGTGGGAGGATTATGTCCATGGCTGAGCTGAACAAGGTAGGTACAAGGTAGGTAACCCTGCCAAACTCCTGAGGAAGTCAGGAAGGAGGGAGATAGGTCGTTGCCAACCCTGACCTTAGCTCTGGTGTCCGAGTGTAGAGCTTTGAGGAGATCTAAAATCGTGCCCGGGATTCCCTTTGAGGAGAGGACATCCCAAAGCTGGCTCCAGTCTACAGAGTCGAAGGCTGCCTTCAAGTTGATGTCCACGTAAGCGACTGAAAGGGGGTGATTGTTCAGCAGGTACACATGAAGCAAGAATTGCATCTGAAGTGGAACAGCTGGGAATTAAACCTGACTGCTGTGGTCTCTGAAGGGAAATAAGCAGGGGACGAATTCTGGCGAGCAGAATCTGCACAAACACCTTGCCAGGAATTGAATGCAGGGTGATAAGACGGTAACTACTGCAAGCTATCTTTGACCCTTTCCCTTTATAGAGGGGAAGAATTATACCGTCTTTCGTGTCCGCCGGAACCAAACCTGAGGACCAGATGTTAGAACATTTAGAGCCCTACTATGGGCATCTTGATAGATTGAGATACTCGGGGAAGATGCCGCCCTCTCCTCCAGCACGACCTGACTTTAACTTGCGAATAGCGCATAACACTTCATCCAGAGATGGTGGATCACAGTCGAGATCAGAGACCACAAATTCAGAAGGTTGGACTATTGTGGTCTGGGCGTTGCTGGTGGAAAGTTCAGAGACTTGTTGAAGTTGTCTTTCCAGCGGGACAGTGTTTCATCCACCGAGTTGCAGGGAGAACCATCCGCCTTGGATATCCGAAATGTAACTGAATGCTTGCTGCATCCGCGAAGACGTTTGACTGCCTTGAATGCGGCCGGAGATTAAAGTGCCGCAGGCCAGCTTCGGCCTTAGATACAAGGGCGTCGTACCAAGCATCTAGGTCTTTCATTCTCTTTGGCCTTGTAAATCCCCACCAGACAGCAACTCTTGGCATGGTTGCAGCTCAGACGGGCAGCTCGTTTCTGCTCAATGATAGCAAGGGTCCCTGCGGTGATCCATGGGCAACACTTAGAACGACATGTAGCCTACACCGTAGGTACAGCAGCCTCAGTGGCACCGAAAACTGCATCACGGAAAGAGACCCACGAGTCTTCAACAGAGTCAGGCAGTTCTCTAGGAGAATCAAAGTGGTACCGAACCTCAACTGAGTAGTTTTAGGCCACCAGAGGGTCTGTTAGAAAAAGATGGTGGTGTGGGCGGCGTTTGCGCAAAGTCTTCTTGGTGAAGGGGTTGATACAAAATTGTGCTACAACAAGTCGGTGGCCTGTGTACTGTGGGCAGGAGCTTCGGCACCACGGTAAACCTGGTATGACTTCAGACAGCTACGGTCGCTGACAAGTATATGGTCAAGTTATTTAACTGTGCAACCGTCATTCAATAGCCAGGTGAGTCTGTGAAGGAGTTTCCGCTTGAAGTAAAAGCCTGAAATTGCTAGTGAGCAAGACAGAAAGATACAATGCGAATGGAGTTGTCATTTACAGTACCATAACCGTAATTGCCGACGACCTCTTCAAAGCCCGTCCTCTCAGCTCAGAGCCCGAGACTGCATTGAAGTCGCCGGTTGCCAATTGGGGTTGGAACAGAGGAGACACAAGCGAGAAGTTCACGATAAAAGGAGTCCTTGTCTGAAGCGCAGGCAACCTCAGTGGGAGCATACACAGCAACAATGGTACTGGCTCCATGCTGGTGCTTGAGTCTGACAGTCAGCAGACGGTCAGATAGGCTTGCCATGACAAAATACGGCTGCTGGTCTTCTTGTCAAGAAAAAGAGGGATGCCGTTGGTGAAGCAAGATCCGCCAGAGAAGATGATTGAACATTTACCAATATTCATTATGCCGTTATCTGGAATACGGGTCTCAGTCAGCCCAGCAATTGCGATGTTGAGTCTACACAACTCCTTGACTAGAGCCTCATGCAGTGGCCAAAGTAAGCACATTCCAGGTGGCAATTCTAGTAATAATTCGAAAATTAAGAAGGGCTCCGGCACAAGTCCAAGTCGGTGAACGACCTTCCCTAGGGCTTTGAGTCACCCACGTCTTTAATGCTGTACCCGAGCAGGGACAGGTGGAGGGAGACCAGAAAAAGCAGGGGCTCTAAACCCTGGTGCTAGTATTGACTTGATCCATAGGAAGAAGAGGTATACCCAACAAATACTACTTGTCCTTGGGAAGTGGGCAAGAGGACACACCGTTGGCAAAAAGAAGCCAAGCACACACCGTTAGCAAAAAGAAGCTCATCTACTTGTGGGAGTTAAAGCAGTGCTGCTGCTCACTGCCAGGATGGACCACCAACCAAGGCTAACAAGATCCACACACCCGGGTTTGAAATCAGAGTTGTCCTTCTCCTAGGCAGACTACCAACCAAGGCTAACGAGTTCCACCTAACCGGAGCGACTGCAGGCGCCAGAAACTCGCCGACACCCACTGCCATTCTTAGAAACGGGAGTTGGCACAAGAAGCCAGGCAGTAGAATTTGAATAGGAGAGGCTAATGTTGAGACTTCAGTGGAAATAGAGCTGCTCAATTCTCCATACCACCCAGCACTTTTCATTTAACCCCCAAAACCTCAGACATAAATGATGCAAGATACAAGGTATTCCTGAGTTTTGAGTGGTAGTAATGAGAAGGAACCCCTCGTCAGGATAAAGATAAACTGTGCCTTTCTTCCACCAAGCAACAGGACACTTGGAAATCATATCATCATCCAACTGGTTGGGCAAGTTCCCCAGACTACGGCTGGAAGTTAATTAAAACAGCTTTGAACCAGACTTTTAGAAGACGTGTAATGCACTGGTGACAGAACAAGTACAATAGGGCCATTCAACATGTAGGACACAATGGCCCTGCAAGTCGCATATTATAGGTATACATATACATATAATCTGCACTGAAATAAGTCACAATTTACTTACAGGTTTTATGGTTAAGTAAATAGTTTATACACTAGAACTGTTGTTAATGTAATATTTGACCAAAATATCTGCTGCAGACATCCCTGTTGTGGTTATGTCGTGTACAATTTTTGAGATTTCGTCAAAAAATAAGTTTTTTTTGGTAATAATATCGCGAATTAAGATGATACATGATAAACTACTCATCTCCAGACACTACAATGATAGTCATCGTATAGATTGACCATGAAAACATAGGTGTAGAGACCACATTTGCGTTATTACCATGTATAGTTTTTGAGATATTGTCAAAAAAGGGATTTCCGGTAATGGCGGCTCTTTATTACGTCATTTCGGACCTAAGGCCACGCCCTAGACCCGGCAGCAATGCATTTTTGTGATGTCCCCATGATACCCCTTCACACTATGAGGTCGACTGCTTTGGCGCTTTTCCCATGATTAAATGTTCTAGGACAAACAACAACTTGGTGGCAGAAAACCCCCGAGGTCCGTCAAGTTCGTTGGCTTAAGCTACAAAATATGTTGTTTATTTGTTTGTTTTTTTTTGGTTGTAACTTTTTGACAGTGAGAGATAAGACAGCAGTGAGAGATAAGAGCCAAGCTTCATCAGAAAAGAACAAGCTGACATCTAAAGCTCCGGAGTCCACCGCTAAGAGAAGAATAGCTACCAAAGACAAGAAAGCAAAAAGCAAAATTCCGAGACCTTGATCTTACCCTAGAGTGTGTCACACTTAGTAATAGAAATAACTAATTGCTTTGCAGATAATTTTATATTAATAATTGTGATTTACTCTTAAAAAGGTGAACCTAGGTTTGGTTTTCACCTTTCAGTTTCTGAATATTTCATGAAGCTTGTGCAAACAAAATCTTAATGTTGAGGTTGACTATTCTGTGTGTACGAGTCCCTGCAGAACATGTGCCTTTTTTACTTTTCAGTTATTCACACAGAGCAGTGTTCCCCAAAAAGTTTTGTTACATTTTACTCTTACCTTTAAGTAATAAGTAATAACTAACAAAAACCTTGGTTTGAAGTAATCAGAAGCTCATCTGTGAAGCAATTTTTTTTCCATTAAATTGTTCGAGTTAGTCTGATTGTATTGTGTGTTAGTTTCACAAATATACATGTACATACAATGTATTTATTAAAAAAATGTAATTATGAAGTTATCGTTACTGTATAACTTTTTAGTATGTTTCATTGACGTGTTTTTTTTCTCAATTAATTGCATCACCATGCAATTAATTTACAAAGTTATTTGAAGTACACATATTGAAAGTTACGTAAGTAACATTCCTAGATTTGTGATGGTGTATTTGTCTAGCGTCCTCCTTCAGTGTTTTTTGCTGCATTTTTTGGCATACAAATTTTGCCCAGAGGCAGTTAGCATTGACGATAAAGCGGAGGGTAGTGAACATAAATGAGTGTAAAAAGAAAAGAAAAAAAACTTCAATCGTTTTCGTTGTTCCGCATCAATTGCACATCATTTACGTAAAATGTATGAATTTAAACTGTTTATTACCAAATATTAAGTATATGGTTCGGCAAATATAATAATTCGATGTCGGCAAATGTAATGATTCGATATCCAAAACATTTTATCTCTTAAAGTTGTTTGAAATACACATATTGAAAATTACATAAGAAACATTCCTAGATTTGTTATGGTGTAATTTGTCTTGCGTCCTCCCCAGTGTTATTTGCTGCATTTTTGGCATACAAATTTTGCGAAGAGGCAGAATCTAACATTGAAGATAAAGCGGAGGGTAGTGAACATAAATGAGTGTAAAAAAAAAAGAAAAAAAATTTCAATCGTCTTCGTTGTTTCGCATCAATTGCACATAATTCACGTAAAATCTATGAATTTAAACTATTATAACCATATATTAAAGTATATAACTCGGCAAATGTGATAATGTGATGTCCCAAACACCCTGTACCATTTCCACAGTCATTCCTAAAACTTCCGTTGATTTTGTCCGGAAACTGATTTTATTAATGGTAACCAGGTCAATTTTTTTAATATTCCCCTCCCCAAAAACCACCCCTAAATAGGGTTGTTAATCCCTGGGCCCAGGTCTAAATGTAACCCTCGCCTCTATGCGAAATAGTGCACCCATAAACCCCGACATGAAATTATTTTGTCCGGAAACTGGGCAACCACTTTTTTGGGGGGGGGGTTCAAATCATTCCAAAATATATCCCCACACTCGGGAAATAATTTGTCCGGAAACTGGGCAACCACTTTTTGGGGGGGGGGGAGTTAAATCATTCCAAAATATACCGAAACACTCGGGAAATATTTTGTCCGGAAACTGGGCAACCACTTTTTTTGGGGGGGGGTTCAAATCATTCCAAAATATACCCCAGCACTCGGGAAATATTTTGTCCGGAAACTGGGCAACCACTTTTTTTGGGGGGAGTTGAAATCATTCCAAAATATACCCCAGCCCTCGGGAAATATTTTGTCCGGAAACTGGGCAACCACTTTTTTGGGGGGGGAGTTGAAATCATTCCAAAATATACCCCAGCCCTCGGGAAATATTTTGTCCGGAAACTGGGCAACCACTTTATTTGGGGGGGGGGGGGAGTTGAAATCATTCCAAAATATACCCCAGCACTCGGGAAATATTTTGTCCGGAAACTGGGCAACCACTTTATTTGGGGGGGTTCAAATCATTCCAAAATATACCGAAACACTCGGGAAATATTTTGTCCGGAAACTGGGCAACCACTTTTTTGGGGGGGGGAGTTGAAATCATTCCAAAATATACCCCAACACTCGGGAAATATTTTGTCCGGAAACTGGGCAACCACTTTTTTTTGGGGGGGTCAAATCATTCCAAAATATACCGAAACACTCGGGAAATATTTTGTCCGGAAACTGGGCAACCACTTTTTTGGGGGGGGAGTTGAAATCATTCCAAAATATACCCCAGCCCTCGGGAAATATTTTGTCCGGAAACTGGGCAACCACTTTATTTGGGGGGGGGGAGTTGAAATCATTCCAAAATATACCCCAGCACTCGGGAAATATTTTGTCCGGAAACTGGGCAACCACTTTATTTGGGGGGGTTCAAATCATTCCAAAATATACCGAAACACTCGGGAAATATTTTGTCCGGAAACTGGGCAACCACTTTTTTTGGGGGGGGAGTTGAAATCATTCCAAAATATACCCCAACACCCGGGAAATATTTTGTCCGGAAACTGGGCAACCACTTTTTTTGGGGGGGGTCAAATCATTCCAAAATATACCGAAACACTCGGGAAATATTTTGTCCGGAAACTGGGCAACCACTTTTTTTTGGGGGGGGAGTTCAAATCATTCCAAAATATACCCCAGCACTCGGGAAATATTTTTTCCGGAAACTGGGCAACCACTTTTTTTGGGGGGGGGGGAGTTCAAATCATTCCAAAATATACCCCAGCACTCGGGAAATATTTTGTCCGGAAACTGGGCAACCACTTTTTTGGGGGGGGTTCAAATCATTCCAAAATATACCGAAACACTCGGGAAATATTTTGTCCGGAAACTGGGCAACCACTTTTTTTGGGGGGGGGAGTTCAAATCATTCCAAAATATACCCCAGCACTCGGGAAATATTTTGTCCGGAAACTGGGCAACCACTTTTTTTGGGGGGGGGAGTTCAAATCATTCCAAAATATACCCCAGCACTCGGGAAATATTTTGTCCGGAAACTGGGCAACCACTTTTATTTGGGGGGGGGGAGTTGAAATCATTCCAAAATATATCCCAACACTCGGGAAATATTTTGTCCGGAAACTGGGCAACCACTTTTTTGGGGGGGAGTTGAAATCATTCCAAAATATACCGAAACACTCGGGAAATATTTTGTCCGGAAACTGGGCAACCACTTTTTTTGGGGGGGGGGAGTTCAAATCATTCCAAAATATACCCCAGCACTCGGGAAATATTTTGTCCGGAAACTGGGCAACCACTTTTTTTGCGGGGGAGTTGATATCATTCCAAAATATACCCCAGCCCTCGGGAAATATTTTGTCCGGAAACTGGGCAACCACTTTTTTGGGGGGGTTCAAATCATTCCAAAATATACCGAAACACTCGGGAAATATTTTGTCCGGAAACTGGGCAACCACTTTTTTGGGGGGGGGAGTTGAAATCATTCCAAAATATACCGAAACACTCGGGAAATATTTTGTCCGGAAACTGGGCAACCACTTTTTTTGGGGGGGAGTTCAAATCATTCCAAAATATACCCCAGCACTCGGGAAATATTTTGTCCGGAAACTGGGCAACCACTTTTTTGGGGGGGGGGAGTTGAAATCATTCCAAAATATACCCCAACACTCGGGAAATATTTTGTCCGGAAACTGGGCAACCACTTTTTTTGGGGGGGAGTTAAATCATTCCAAAATATACCGAAACACTCGGGAAATATTTTGTCCGGAAACTGGGCAACCACTTTTTTTGGGGGGGGGGGGGGAGTTCAAATCATTCCAAAATATACCCCAACACTCGGGAAATATTTTGTCCGGAAACTGGGCAACCACTTTTTTTGGGGGGGGAGTTAAATCATTCCAAAATATACCGAAACACTCGGGAAATATTTTGTCCGGAAACTGGGCAACCACTTTTTGGGGGGGGGGGGGGAGTTAAATCATTCCAAAATATACCGAAACACTCGGGAAATATTTTGTCCGGAAACTGGTTTTAAAACCACTCTCACCGCATCGTTAAAACCATGCGTGGTTAAAACCACTCTCATCGCGTCGTTTGAACGACTCTCAGCTCGTCGTTTAAGTCTCTCAAAGGCGTCGTTAAAATAACTCTCACGGCGGCGTTTAACGACCTCTCACCGCATCGTTTAGCCCTCTCTCACCCCGCCGCTTAACGTCTCTCATCGTGTCGTTTAAACGACTTTCAGCGCGAACTAAAACGTCTCTGAATGCGTCGTTCAAACGACTCTCACCGCGACGTTAAAACCACGCGTCGTTAAAACCATTCTCAACACGAGGTTAAAAACCACTCTCATCGCGTCGTTTAAACGACTCTCAGCTCGTCGTTTAAGTCTCTCAAAGGCGTCGTTAAAACAACTCTAACGGCGGCGTTAAACGTCTCTCACCGTGTCGTTTAAACGACTCTCAGCGCGTCGTTGAACATCTCTGAATGCGTCGCTAAAACCACTCTCAACGCGCCGTTAAAACGACTACCACCGCGTCGTCAAAACCACTCTCACCGCGTCGTTACAGCGACTCTCACCGCATTGTCAAAACCACTCTCAACGCGTCGTTAGAACGACTCTCACCGTGTCGTTTAAACGACTCTCAGCGCGTCGTTAAAACCATGCGTGGTTAAAACCACTCTCATCGCGTCGTTTGAACGACTCTCAGCTCGTCGTTTAAGTCTCTCAATAGCGTCGTTAAAATAACTCTCACGGCGGCGTTTAACGACCTCTCACCGCATCGTTTAGCCTTCTCTCACCCCACCGCTTAACGTCTCTCATCGTGTCGTTTAAACGACTTTCAGCGCGAACTTAAACGTCTCTGAATGCGTCGTTCAAACGACTCTCACCGCGACGTTAAAACCACGCGTCGTTAAAACCATTCTCAACACGTGGTTAAAACCACTCTCATCGCGTCGTTTAAACGACTCTCAGCTCGTCGTTTAAGTCTCTCAAAGGCGTCGTTAAAACAACTCTAACGGCGGCGTTAAACGTCTCTCACCGTGTCGTTTAAACGACTCTCAGCGCGTCGTTGAACATCTCTGAATGCGTCGCTAAAACCACTCTCAACGCGCCGTTAAAACGACTACCACCGCGTCGTCAAAACCACTCTCACCGCGTCGTTACAGCGACTCTCACCGCATTGTCAAAACCACTCTCAACGCGTCGTTAGAACGACTCTCACCGCGTCGTTTAAACGACTCTCACTGCGTCGTTGAACGACTCTCAACGCGTTGTATAAACAACTCTCACCCCGCCGCTGAACGTCTCTCAACGCGTCGTTACAGCAACTCTCACCGCATTGTCAAAACCACCCTCAACGCGTCGTTAGAACGACTTTCACCGCGTCGTTTAAACGACTCTCACTGCGTCGTTGAACGACTCTCAACGCGTTGAATGAACAACTCTCACCCCGCCGCTGAACGTCTCTCAACGCGTCGTTACAGCAACTCTCACCGCATTGTCAAAACCACTCTCAACGCGTCGTTAGAACGACTCTCACCGCGTCGTTTAAACGACTCTCACTGCGTCGCTGAACGTCTCTCAACGCGTCGTTACAGCAACGCTCACCGCATTGTCAAAACCACTCTCAACGCGTCGTTAGAACGACTCTCACCGCGTCGTTTAAACGACTCTCACTGCGTCGCTGAACGTCTCTCAACGCGTCGTTACAGCGACTCTCACCGCATTGTCAAAACCACTCTCAACGCGTCGTTAGAACGACTCTCACTGCGTCGTTGAACGACTCTCAACGCGTTGTATAAACAACTCTCACCCCGCCGCTGAACGTCTCTCAACGCGTCGTTACAGCAACTCTCACCGCATTGTCAAAACCACCCTCAACGCGTCGTTAGAACGACTCTCACCGCGTCGTTTAAACGACTCTCACTGCGTCGTTGAACGACTCTCAACGCGTTGAATAAACAACTCTCACCCCGCCGCTGAACGTCTCTCAACGCGTCGTTACAGCAACTCTCACCGCATTGTCAAAACCACTCTCAACGCGTCGTTAGAACGACTCTCACCGCGTCGTTTAAACGACTCTCACTGCGTCGCTGAACGTCTCTCAACGCGTCGTTACAGCAACTCTCACCGCATTGTCAAAACCACCCTCAACGCGTCGTTAGAACGACTCTCACAGCGTCGTTTAAACGACTCTCACTGCGTCGTTGAACGACTCTCAACGCGTTGAATAAACAACTCTCACCCCGCCGCTGAACGTCTCTCAACGCGTCGTTACAGCAACTCTCACCGCATTGTCAAAACCACTCTCAACGCGTCGTTAGAACGACTCTCACCGCGTCGTTTAAACGACTCTCACTGCGTCGCTGAACGTCTCTCAACGCGTCGTTACAGCAACTCTCACCGCATTGTCAAAACCACCCTCAACGCGTCGTTAGAACGACTCTCACAGCGTCGTTTAAACGACTCTCACTGCGTCGTTGAACGACTCTCAACGCGTTGAATAAACAACTCTCACCCCGCCGCTGAACGTCTCTCAACGCGTCGTTACAGCGACTCTCAACGCATTGTCAAAACCACTCTCAACGCGTCGTTAGAACGACTCTCACTGCGTCGTTGAACGACTCTCAACGCGTTGTATAAACAACTCTCACCCCGCCGCTGAACGTCTCTCAACGCGTCGTCAAAACAACTCTCACGGCGGCGTTTAACGTCTCTCACCGCGTCGTTGAACGACTCTCAACGGCGTTGTTAAAACAACTCTCACCCCGCCACTGAACTTCTCTCAACGCGTCGTCAAAACATCTCTCACGGCGGCTCTCACCGTGTTGTTTAAACGACTCTCAGCACGTCGTTAAACGTCTCTGAAAGCGTTAAAACGACTCTCACCGCATTGTCAAAACCACTCTCAACGCGTCGCTTGAAACGACTCTCACCGCGTCGTTGAACGACTCTCAATGCGTCTTGAAATCAACTCTCACCCCGCCGTCAAAACCACTCTCAACGCGTAGTTAGAACGACTCTCAGCACGTCGTTAAACGTCTCTGAATGCGTCGTTAAAACCACTCTCAACGCGTCGTTACAGCGACTCTCACCGCGTCGTCAAAACAACTCTCACGGCGGAGTTTAACGTCTCTCAACGCGTCGTTGAACGACTCTCAACGGCGTTGTTAAAACAGCTCTCACCCCGCCGCTGAACGTCTCTCAACGCGTCGTTTAAAAGACTCCCAGCACGTCGTAAAACGTCTCTGAATGCGACGTTAAAACCACTCTCACCCCGCCGCTGAACGACTCTCAACGCGTCGTCAAAACAACTCTCACGGCGGCGTTTAACTTCTCTCACCGTGTCGTTTAAAGACTCTCAGCACGACTCTCACCGCGTTGTCAAAACCACTCTCAACGCGTCGTAAAAACCACTCTTAACGCGTCGTTAAAGCGACTCTCACCGCGTTATCAAAACCATTCTCAACGCGTCGTTAAGAACGACTCTCACCGCGTCGTTAAACGTCTCTGAATGCGTTGTTAAAACCACTCTCGACGCGTCGTTAAAACTATCACCGCGACTCTCAAGGCGTCGTCAAAATAACTCTCGCGTCGTTTAAACGACTCTCAACGCGTCGTCTCACCCACGCCGCTTTAACGACTCTCACCGCAGCGTTTAAGGACTCTCATCGCTTCGTTTAAACGGCTTCTCACTGCGGCGATTAACGACCTCTTAAAGCTTCGTTGAACAAACACTCACTCCGCTGCTTAACGTCTCTCACTGTGTCGTCAAAACCACTCTCACCCCGCCCCGCCGCTGAACGTCTCCACGCGTCGTTTAAACGACTCTCACCGCGGCGTTTAACGACCTCTCACCGCGTCGTTTAAACCTCTCTCACCCCGCCGCTTAACGTCTCTCACCGTGTCGTTTGCACGACACCTCAACGCGTCGTTTGAACGACTCTCATCGCCGTCAAGCGGGTCGTTGAACGATTCTTAGGCGTGCCTTACACGATCATCGTGCTGCTTCAGAGCACACACTAACGACTTTCATAGTTGTTCAGTTGTTAAATAAATGGTTGCCCAGTTTCCGGACAAAGTCTTATGAATGGGCTCATTTCGGGATACTTGACAAAAAAAGTTTTCGCGGTTGCCCAGTTTCCGGACAAAATCTAATGAATGAACTCATCTCGGGATACTTGACAAAAAAGTTTTCGTGGTTGCCCAGTTTCCGGACAAAATCAACTACAGGATTTTTAATTTTTTGTGGTAACGCTCCAGAAAAAAAGTTTCCCAGTTTCCGGACAAAGTCTTATGAATGGGCTCATTTCGGGATACTTGACAAAAAAGTTTTCGTGGTTGCCCAGTTTCCGGACAAAATCTAATGAATGAACTCATCTCGGGATACTTGACAAAAAAGTTTTCGTGGTTGCCCAGTTTCCGGACAAAATCAATTACAGGATTTGTTTGTATATTGCATGAGAAAAAAAAAGGTTACCCTGGTTTCGAGACATCAAATTCAAAATCACACAACTCGGTAATGGGAATAAAAAATTACAAATAACTGAATTGTTTCTGGGACACGCAGTTGCGTAAAATTTATTCAAAAAGAATGCGTTTTTTTTTTATTTACATCAACAAATATTTAATTTATGAGTAATTCTCTCGAAGTGTAATGCAAAAACTTTTGAAAAAAAATTAAATCTATGTTCACTTAATGTATTTATTCGTGCTTCCATGAACTTGACATAAAAACATCAAATTTGTAATGAGTAAATCTCTCGAAGTGTAGTGCAATTAAATCTATGTTTATATATTGCATGGACGTATACGTGCATGACCTTAACGTTCAAAAGCAACGGTCAAGTTTACTTCATATAAAAATGACTTACAAATCATAGTGCTCTTTTGGGCAACTTTACGACACGCATATGTGCATTGTATGTTAAGACAATAAACAGCTTAACACAGAAACCATTGGTGATTACTTTTACATTTATATTAAATTGACGTGAAAATCTACGATTATTTTTCATGATAATGATTACTAACCAACATGTCACACTTGTATTTTTGTACGCTTGTATGAGAATGAAAGTCTAAAATTTGTGGGTACATCCGCAGTTAAATGCAGCCGAATCCTTCTTGACTGTATCATAATCACAGCCGACGCACGCAACATGGAACCACTTGTCACAGCGATCACATTGTACCTGTTTAACAAAAAAAAGAGAAGGATTTAAAGAAGAACGGAAAAAATATGAAAGTTGGTATCACTTGCTAAACTTTTGAAACTTGTGGCTATTTGTAGTATAAGTTCTTTAGTTTAAAATAGTTTTTCAATACTTTCTCCAGATTAGTGGTGGCTGAAGGTGGATCTCGACGCATAAAATGCATCGATATCACCATTCACACATCTCTCTGCTCGTGAGGTAGCTGAACAACAACCATGATCAATGTCTGACGAATAATGAATTGACAGTACATGTACATAGATGAGTAAGTTTATTAAGCAAATTACATAATACACTCTGAAAAAACTGTGTTTAAGCAAGTTTTCTTGCTGCGTGTTTGTAAACATGTTTACCATCTAAATAAACAAACAAACAAGCAAGTGTTTAGAATTGTATTTACTAACTAAACACTTTACTTGGTAGGCAGGCAATATGCCTAAAATTGGAGAAAACGTAACAGATTTAACTCTCGTAAAATACCGGAGCTGAAAGAATTCTAAGACCATAATGGTGAGTCTGATTCATTATGTCAAATTTCAGTTTCCAACGAACACATAATACGGTTAGGAACGATGATTAAACGTCATAAACGTCAAGACTGATTAGACCAACAAATATTACAAGATAAATTTCGACTGCCTGAATCAGGACATTGAGTGCGTTTGATTACTTCCCCCAGCTTACTCGGCGCCTGGCTCTGCACGCGATGACAGGAATGCGCAGTGGAGGTAAATAAACGAACAGTTTCGGGTAAAGTTTCGTGCAAGAGCCGGAACATGGAAAAAAAATCGGGTATTTCTCAACATATTCTCGATTTATCAGTTTAAGGGGGGGACAGGACATTTTGCCCCCCACAAATTAAATAGACACCTTTATGACTTCTCGCCTCTTTTTCTTTCCTTTTTTTCACCCTTTTTTTATTTTTGCTTTTCCGGGGGGGGGGGTTGGGGGTTGGAGAGGGGGTTGCACCCCTTGCTCCCACTCGCGACGCCCATGGATGGAAAGTTGAATTTTGACATGACATATGCGGAAAAAATATTGCAAACTGATGAATAACTAGCGGAGAAACGCGTCACTTTACACTTGCTAGCAGCAAATCAACACACGTAATTTATTTAATTTATATGCTAAATGGCTAAAGTAATTCAATTTTAAAATACGTTGTTTTAAGAACCTCCCATTGTCATTGCTTAGCTAGCCTGAGGAGCAGTGGTCGGCATAGGTCAGTGCATACGTTTCCACTTTATCCAAACAGATTTGTGGTTTTTCGTTAGCATGTAAACATGTTTACAAAACTGATAGTTAAAATAGTGCAAAAAATTGTGTTTACTCGCTAAACATATTTTCGTCGGCCACGCAAAATACACACAGAGGTAATTAGTTTGCCTCTATTCCGAAGCCTACAACGGAAAAGTTGGTCCCATGGTAAATTTGAACTCTCTTGGAAAATTACTCATAACTCTGTCAATCATTTTCGCATTTGGACGTTTGATGTCTAGTCGGGGGTCTGAGGGATATTTTGGTTCAGATTCTTCCAAAACTAAAGCACCAAATTCGGCACAGATGTCGACCATACCATACTATTTCGATTTTTGACAAGCACCAAGACGGGCGCCACACGGGGCCGCCATATTGGCAAAATCCAATATGGCCGCCAACCGGGTCAGAGGTCAATTAAACTAAATGAGCTAGAATCATAAATAATACCACTTTTCAGGTATTTTCGGGGTCGAGCAATCTGAATCTGATGTTATTTTAACGATTTAAGGCAAGACAGACGCCAAAGGGGCCGCCATATTGGCAAAATCCAAAATGGCCGCCACAAATACCGCAGATAAACAAATGAACTAAAATCTTTTTAAAATATAACCTTTAATGGGTTTTTGGGGTCACAGAATCTAAATCTGATGTCAATTTTAATGATTCGAGACAAGACAAATGCCCTAGGGGCCGCCACATTGAAGGGAAAAAAATATGCTAAATGGTTAATTTGCCCAGATACATATATATATTGTCTCTTGAGGGGTCGTGGCAGGGGTGTTAAGGTCATCAGCAAGAAGTTTTAGATCACTTTTACTCCACATTTACGGTCGTAATGAATAGGCCAAATTACTTCTACGCTGGCACAAAAAAAACTTGTGAACATTACATGGTTAAATGGTTAATTTGCCCAGATACATTGCGGTGGCCGTCTTGGATTTTGCAGATGGCCGCCATTGAAAACATATATCTACCAATATCTGTTCTTCTAAGCCACTTAGGATTAAAATTTTCGCGTCCATAAAATACATTTTCAGGGTCAAGGAATGCAACTTTACCATTTACCATTTGTGGCCATCTTTGATTTTAAAGATGGCCGCCAGATAATAATTGCATTTATTGATATCTCAGGTACTACCCCATTTCAAATCACAGTCTAGGTGTCAAAACATATGTTTTCAGGGTCAGGAAATACAACTGTGTTATTCAGAAGAGACCAAGTTGATTTTAGTTATAAACACACAAATAGTCCAACTGAAGGTGAAATCTCTAACAGAATACCGTTGATATATCCGAAAATACTGTATGAAGTATAAGTAAAACAACAAAGTGTGAGAATAAATGTCATCACTCACAAAAGTTTACAGTTTAAAAGTGCTCGGTCTAATTCTCAGAGTTGCAACCCATAAAGCTTATTGCACTTAGCAAGGTGCTGCAAGCACATATTGCACTGCATACACTTTGATTCTTGAAGCCACGTACATGCCGGCTTTGAAGGCCACAAGTAACATGGTCCAGACAGGAACCCATTTCTGTTTTTGTTCATGTACGAGTGCCTGATCCTAAACAGGCTTGGTCCCGTTGCTGGAACATCCCTTATCCCTCAGCAACCTGAATTCTTACATTGCAAGTCAAGAAAAAGTCAACTCTTCATCTGGCACAGCAAGCCGAGGACGGGTTTCAAAACGACAATATGTGGAGCTATTTTGTGGATCTTTCGGTCACATATTAATACTGTAAACCCACTGCCGCCTCCTGAAAAAATCTTGGAGTTGACCATATACCTCGCATTTAACGGAACATATCGGAGCCCTTCTCAAAGACGGATGCTTCTTTTGTTGTTCATAACAAAACAAAGATGCTCTCGACGACCAAAAAAAAAATGGCCTACCTCAAAGGCACTGTGCTGGCTCCCCTTTTGCTGTATAACGTCTACACAAAAACAAATTTAATAGACCAAGACAGTGCGCGTTTCTTCTACGCAGACGATCTTTGTGTTACATCTCAAAAGATTCCGTTCAAAGCCATAGAAGCAAAACTTACCTCAGCACTTAGCCGTCTTTATACTATGAGCGCAATCATCTCGGAGCCAAGTCTGCTCGTTCCATCCCAGGAACAGTAACTGCGAATCCAACCCACCCCTTAATATCAAATGATCCGGAACACCATTAGCCCCTTGTAGCCATCCTGTCTAACTTGGTGAGCCTCCATTGTATCCCTGTCATTCAAGTCATCCAAATTTAGCTCCCCGTAACAACATCATAAAGAAATTGAACAACCTCCGAAAGAGGAGCCAAAACACACACCTTAAGATGAACAGTTTTGGCTCGGTGCCGTTCTTCAGCAGAGCTAAGATGTCCGACTATCGATAAATGACGAGTGTCGCCCTCCTCCAGGGACGGCAAGCTTCGGCACAAAAGGCTGAATTCGAGAAAAGCTTCCTCAGCCAAGTCCACTCCTTCACAACATCCAGGGAAGAAGTGGTAAGACTCCAACACTGGAAGCAACGACTGAGAGTAAAACCCCACCGATTGTCATGGTTATACTGCGCCGAATAACAAAACAATGGCGGAAAACTTCCCAACAGGTGCATCATCGACATGGATTCAATGAAAAACTATTAGCCGCTCGACAACACGGACTAGCCGATCACAGACCCGCGTAAATCAAATGGAGCTTCAAAAGTGGTTCATTTGTGGAGAGGTAGAGTTATGTACATCCTGTAGTGTCAAAGATTTCTACCTGCCTAGGTTCAAAGATGGCATTTTGACACAGTAAACAGGATGGCATTGGGCTGGGCTGACACCAGTTTCTTATGGGTTTGTTGGTGGCAGTTCCATACAGTTTAAGTGGTACAAGACCAGAAGCGGGCTAATGTTGGCTCGATTGCGCCAAAACGGTTGTGTTTACGGTACAGACACCACAGAGTCGGAATTGATCATGTGCTCGCCCTAAGTGGCAAACGGTAATATTAAGGTAACACCGTTCAAAGCCTGCATTGGACCAAGGCGAACAATAACAGCAAGACGGCGCACAGCCTGGCCCAGGCCATTGCAGGTCCTCTTACGATAAACCATGATAAAAAGCCAGTAAAAGGCCTGAATCTGGCCAGTGTAGGTCCTTTTACGGCAAACCATATTGCCGCCGTATCAAGTGTCTGGACAAACTGACCATTTGACACTACCCCAAATGGTACAGTTGCATTCCTTGACCCTGACAATTTATTTTTAAACACCAAACCTTAAGTGGCTTAGAAGATGAGACGGCCGCCATCTTTAAAATCCAAGATGGCCGCTAAAATGTTATTGGATAAGTTGGTTCCTATCAAAATTGAAAGCTAAGGCATTGAAGAGCATGTATGGACAATTTGGCACTTCTGTCCGGAATGTCCACACCCATTCACTAAAGCTGCCTAACAAATAGTGCCTAAATCCTATCAAAATTGTGAAGCAGTTTCATGATGGTACAATTCGGGCGATTCACAATGCAGTGCGCCACCAAGAATTTGCCACAGGTGAAACTTTGCAACAAACCACTGAAACTAAAACTGAACAAAACAAACAGTGGTTGACACTACTGGACCTGTTTGCAAGTACAAAATTGTCAAGTATTTAGTGGTGACGGGTTAGAAAGTTGGCAAAAAAGGACCCAAATTGATTATTTAAAATTTTGAATATGTGACAATTTGCACGTGCTTAAACGACATAAGGTTTGTTTGT